ATATCTGAAAAAATATGTCCCACTGGAGCCAGAGAGTCAAAAGCAATCATCAGGTCTTGGTTCTCCTCCTTATGTCTCATTTTTGCTTTCTTTCAAGTGGGCTTCATTCTTTTAGGCAGTTAGGCACTCTCCCATGCAATTCCCAACTGCCTTCATTTTTATAAGTTAGCCATGCCAGTGGAAAACATCTCTTTCTCTAAATTCTGACAACAGTTCCAGAATTGGTTTAGCTTGAATTATATACCCCTGCTGGAGCCTGTTCAGCCCCATTTGAACCACTGAACAAAGAGTAGTGAAAAGGTGCTTTCCCAAAGGAAAATTACACATATATGAGGTAATTCAGGAGTTGCATGGGAGAGTACCTAACTGCCTAGCAGATTACATATGTGGAAGGAGATGGATGAAAATTCAATTTACAGTTTCTCTCTGAGCTATGTCAAAACAAGTAGGTTAATAAAAGTAATTTACAGATTTTCCTATCTAAAGTATCCAACGTGTTCTCTGAGTCTCTGAACTACTGGGAGAGGGAGATTGACAATTTCCTATCAGGTCTCTGACCCCAGTATTTCCTTAGACTATCTTGCACACCATTTAAGCCAAGTATGCTGTGGGCTAAGAAGTTATTTAGATAAGATGTACAATGTACATTTTGCACTTTCACACAAATTTCAGAGTATAACCATATTCTCTATTTTTCAAATCCACACATTTTGATTTGAAATTTTTATTTATAAAATAAAACAGCTCCTAAAACAAAACAACATTAATAGTGACAGAGTCAATTTTCTTCATTAAGTATCTATAGAGACTTGGCACACTATACAGTTGCTTGGATACAACCAAGGATGTGGTGTATTGGTAAGTAAATATTACATCAATTCAAATATTCAAGGTGAAAGGACTTTTGATTTAAATCTAAATCAAAAGTGAATTTTAATATTTAAAAATACCCTTCCACACTCCTTTTTGCCTTCACACAGCAAGTTCCACAAGCACTGATTTTCTGTGTTTTCACAGATCTATCAGAGCAGCTATCAATCATCTTCCTTCTCAATATAGGTCTTTGCATTAACCCGTGCCATTTGCCTGGCCAAATACCTGTCCCTAGCTGACATTACAGTTTCTTCATTGCTCCGCTTTGCAAACTTGCTCACAGCCTCAGGTGGTCTCTCTTGTTCTTTGCCCATCTCTTGCCTTTCCTCTGTGATTCTGTGTTTTGCTCCCAATGTTTCAGAACTACTAGAGGGTTTCTCTTGGATCCTTTCTTTGTCCTTTTCCATATTTTTCATTTTGTTGGATTTTTCCTGGTCCAGCTTTGCTCTAAAACTTGGGCTACTTTCTTTTCTTTCTTGATTTCTTTCTGAAGACTGAACACTTACTTGTTTTTCCCTAGCTCTGTATTTATCACTGTTCTCATATCTTTCCTTCCTTCCTTTCATATGTTCTTCCTTTGCTTTGCTTTTGTCCTCTTTTTCTCGTCCTTTCTCACCATGTTGGTCATGATCATTTGGTTGTCTATTTCTTTCTTGTTCTCTTGAGATATGTTTCTCCTTATCTGTCCCCCTTTTCCATTCTCTGCCATTTCTTGCTCTTTCTCTATGGTCTCTTCCCCTTAGTTTATCTTCTTGCTCATGTCTCTTCCAGTGGGAATCTCTATGACTGGCCTCTCTTTGTCTATGGGAATCCTTTTTTTCTTTTCGATAATCATGATCGGTGTAATAGTCCCCCTGGTCCCTGGATTGTCTTTCTTGATGCTGATCTTCCCCCTTTTCATGTCCTCTTGCCTTGAAACTTTTTGTGTGGTGTTTGGCACTGTGTCCCCTTTCTTCACTAGATGACCGTGAGCTGGTATGCCTCCTGTGACACCTGAGGTCATTCTCAGAGGACTCTGTGCCTTTTTCTTTTCTGTGGTTCACTTTATTATGTTCTTCAATTTCATCATCCTCACTGCTCTTAGCACTGAAGTCACTATCTGCATCTGGGTTTTCCTCTGCCTTTATACCAATCTGGAGAATGCATTTCTCATGTGGTATTCTGTTCGATGAATTTACTTCATCAGAGTAACCTCTTGATCTCTCTTCCTTTATCCCAGACCTTTAAAAAATAACAAACAAAAAATGACAAATTATCAACTAGTAAACAAATAAAACATTTGATCAATTTTTCTAAATACTTAAATCAATATGGTATAATTATATATATATATATATATATATATCTGATTACCCAAATGTGAAAAGATTCTTATGTTTAATTATTGCATAAACATCTGCAAACCAGTGTTTTCTATCCATTCAAAATATAATCAATATTTGTGAAACTAAAATAGAGAAAACGAACCTTTCTCTACTAGATCACTAAACGTCAGGTAGGCATTTGTATAAGTTCTTCATTTTTGCTACATTTGGATGAAGAGTAATTAGGAAAAGAGATATGTTCTGGATATAAATTCTATTTTCACACCATGAAGTTCAAGTAGTAGCTATTTTTCTTTTCCTTTCTTTTAAAATTATCATTAATAGCCCTGGAAACACATGAAGATCTTTTTTTCCCCCAGAGCAAAATGGTGACAAAATCTGATCCCACTAAATAATCTCCCTCACAATTAAAACGACACCAGCCTCCTTTGGTACTTCTCACAAGAAAATGGAAATACGTGATTTAAGCACATTTAGCTATTAAAATCAACAACATTTGAATAGTTTACATCTATATTTTTCCATCTGGTAAGTATGGTTAATTTATTTGTACCACCCACAAGTTCCACCTTACTAATCACAACCAGTACCACAACAAGTCTCTAGGAATTGCTGGCAGACTATTTTAGCTAAACTATCACTAATAGTTGCTGTTGTTAAGTGCCACATCTCCAACTCATAGTGACCCTACACACAAAAGAATGAAACACTGCCTGGTCCTGTGTGAGCCTCACGAACTTGAGCCAATCATTGCAGCCACTGTGTCTACCCATTTTGTTGAGGACCTCTCCCTTCTTCGTTGACCCTCTATTTTACCCAGCATGACATCCTTCTCCAGGGAATGGTTCCTTCTGACATGACCAAAGTAGGTGAGATGAAGTCTGGCCATTTTGTGCTTCCAAGGAGCATTCCGGCTGCACTTCTTCCAGGACAGATCTGTCAGTCCTTTTAGCAGACCATGGTACTCTTCTCATTCTTCTTCAACATGACTCAAAAGCATCAACTCTTCTTTGGTCTTTCTTATTTATTGTCTAGCTCTCACATGCATAAGAGGCGACTGAAAATACCATGGCTTGGGTTAGGTGCACCTTAGTCTTCAAGGAGACACCTTTTCTTTTCATCACTTGAAAGAGGTCTTTTGCAGCAGATCTGCCCAATGCAATACATTGTCTGATGTTTTGACTGCTGCTTCCATTGGTGCTGATTGTAGAACCAAGTAATATGGAATCTTTTATAGCTTCAGTCTTCTCTCCATTTATTGTGAAGCTGTTTATTGGACCGGTTTTGAGTATTTCTGTTTTCTTTATATTGAGGTGTAATCCATACTGCAGACTATAGTCTTTAAGTGCTTCAAGTCATCCTCATTTTCAGCAAGCAAAGTTATGTCATCTGCGTATCGCAGGTTGTTAACAAGCCTTCCTCTAATCCTGATGCCATGTTCTTCTTCATATAATCCAGCGTCTCGGCTTATCTGCTCAGCGTACAAGTTGAGTAAGTATGGTGAAAGGATACAACCTTGATGCACTCTCTTCTTGATTCTGAACCATGCCATATCCCCATGTTCTGTTTGAATGACAGCCTCCGGATCTATGTACAGGCTCCTTGTGAGTATAATCAGTATTCTGGAATCCCCACTCTTCTCAATGTTATCCATCATTTGTTATGATCCACACAATCAAATGCTTTTCCATAGTCAATGAAACATAAACAAACATTTTTCTGGTATTCTTTGCTTTGAGCCAAGATCCATCTGACATCAACAATGATATCCCTCGTTCCACGTCCTCTTTTGAATCCAGCTTGCATTTCTGGAAGCTCTGTCAATATACCACTACAACTGGTTTTGAATTATCTTCAGTAAGATTTTACTTGCATGTGATATCAATGATATTGTTCAATAATTTCCACATTCTGTGGTATCACCTTTCTTTGGAATAGGTACAAATATGGATCTCTTCCAGTCAGTTGGCCAGGTAGCTGTCCTCCAAATCTTTTGGTGTAACTGAGTGAGCACCTCCAATGCAGCATCAATTTGTTGAAACATCTCAATGGGTATTCTGTCAATTCCTGGAGCCTTGTTCTTCACCAATTCCTTCAATGCAGCTTCGACTTCGTCCTTCAATACCATTGGTTCTTGATCATATGCCACCTCCTGAAATGGATGAAAACTGACCAATTCTTTATGGTACAGTGACTCTGTGTATTCCTTCCATCTTCTTTTGATGCTTCCTGCATCATTCAATATTTTGCCCATAGAATCTTTTAATATTGCAACTCGAGGCTTCAATGTTTTCCTCAGTTCCTTTAGCTTGAGAAATGCCAAGTGTATTCTTCCCTTTCGGTGTGTTCTAACTCCAGGTCTTTGAACATTTCTGTATAGTAATTGGCTTTGTCTGCTCAAGCTGCTCTTTGAAATCTTCTGTTCAGCTAATTTATCTTATCATCTTTTCCATTTGCCTTAGCTACTCTCTGCTCAAGGGCAAGTTTCAGAGTCTCTTCTGACATTCATTTTTGTCTTCTCTTTCTTTCTTGTCTTTTTAATGACCTCTTGCTTTCTTCATGGATGATGCTCTTGATGTCATCCCATAATTCCTCTGGTTTTCGGTCACTGGTGTTCAATGCATCAAATCAATTCTTTAAATGGTCTCTAAATTCAGGAGGGATATTGTCAAGGTCATATTTTGGCTCTCATGGGCTTGTTTTTTTTAATGGTCTTCAACTTCAACTTGAATGTGCATATGAGCAGTTGCAATCTCATTCCTGTATATTCCATCTGGTGAAGTCCACATGTATAGTCGTTGCTTATGTTGTTGAACAAAGGTATTTGTAATGAATAAGTCGTTGGTCTTGCAAAATTCTATCATGCAATCTCCAATGTTATTTCTATCACCAAGGCTCTATTTTCCAACTACCAATAACTCTTCTTTGTTTCCAACATTTCATTCCAGTCTTCAGTGATAATCCACACACCTTGATTGCATGTTCAGTCAGTTTCAGACTGCAGAAGTTGGTAAAAGTCTTCAATTTCCTCATCTTTGGCTTTGGTGGTTGGTGTGTAAATTTGAGTAATAGTAGTATTAACTGGTCTTCCTTGTAGACATATGGACATTATCCTATCACTGACAGTATTGTACTTCAGGATAGATCTTGAAATAGTCTTTGTGATGATGAATGCCACATTTGACTTCAATTTGTCATTCCCAGCATAGTAGAGCATATGGTTAGCTGATTCAAAATGGCCCAAACCAGTCCGTTTCAGCTCACTAATCCCAGGATATCAATCTTTATGTGTTCCATTTCATTTTTGACAACTTCCAATTTTCCTAGATTCATACTTTGTACATTCTACATTCCAATTATTAATGGATATTTGTATCTGTTTCTACTCATTTTGAGTCATACCACAATAGCCAATGGAGGTCCTGAAAGCTTTACTCTACCTGTATCACCAAGATCATCTCTACTCTAAGGAGTCAGTTCTTCCCCACTCAAATTTTAAGTGCCTTCCAACCTGATGGGCTCATCTTCTGGCACTATATTGGACAACATAATGTTTCAGAGCTATTCATAAAGTTTTCCAGTAACGTATCAGACAGTGTTTCACTGCTATTCATAGTTTTCACTGGCCAATTCTTTGAGAAGTGGATGGCCTCTTCCTTCTTCTGAGTCTGTCTTAGCCTGTAAGCTCTGCTGAAACCTGTCCACCATCACTAATAGGTAGGAAATCTATTATTATATTCTGATAAGTACAATTACGTATATGGCAGTATAGTGTATCATGGCTGGCCTCATAACTATTCCAGATGAAATTCTTTAGTGAAAAAGTCATAATGTATTACAACATCAATTCACAATCTGAATCTTCAAATACACTTTCTTATAATGTCCTCTCTTTACCCTTAATTCCATTCCTCTACTTCCTCCCTCTTTCCAGCAACACAGACTCAGATTCTCTAATCAGAATGTTTCCATTAAAAAAAAAAAAAAGTTGGCTTAGATACAGGTTTAAGACAAATTCTTTCACATTCAACTAAATACTTAAGGCATAACCAACTCACTAGTCCTCTAATACCTTGTAATTTTATTTAAAAATCTACCAATCCTTTCCTTTCTAAATCAGCACTATCTAATAGAAGTGTTTACAGAAATGACAATGTCTATATCTGTGCTGTTCAATAAGGAGCTGTGGTGGTGCAGTGGTTAAAGCATTCAGCTTCTAACCAAAAGGTTGGTGGTTTGAACCAAACCCACCAGCTGTTCCAGGGGCGAAAAATGAAGCAGTCTGCTTCTGTAAAGATTTACAGCCTTGGAACCCATACGGATCAGTTCTAATCTGTTCTGTATGGTCACTATAGTTCAGAATGTATTCAATGGTAGGGGGTTTGGGTTTCTGGGTGCTGTTCATGGCTAAGGCATTTGACTGCTAACCAGAGGGCTGGCAGTTCAAACCCACCAGCCACTCCTTGTTAGAAAGTTTGAGCAATCTACTTTTGCATTGATACCATCTCAGAAACCCAAGGAGGGGTCGCTATGAGTTGGATCCGACTCGACAGCAGTGAGTGAGCCAAATGTAGCCCCTGAGTACCTGAAATGTGGCCAGTGGACAAAATTTTAGATTTTACTTAATTTTAATTAATTTAAACAGATATATGTGACTAATGGCTTCCATATTGGATTAACACAGCTCTATGCTCTGATATAAGTATTATACATTTCATGGAGGTTGGATTTTATTTATGAAAATAAGCCACTTTCCTCCTACCAACACTGAAAAAAAAAAAAAAACAGTTCCACAATTAATAGTAGGAGAATTCTTCATACCAGTTTCAGTGAAGGACAAAATTAGAAAGAAAATCAACAAAGATATAGTAGATCTAAACAACACAATCAACCAAC